TGTGGCAGCAGGTTGGAGTTTGAGGCTTGCCTTGGTTTTGGTACAGCATCCAAGGCCACTTTGGAAGACATCGTTGAATTTTGTCTTCAGTGTGTTAGTAAAGTGTTCTGCAATGTCTGAGGAGGATGAACATTTCAGAGTACTGCACACAGATGATAAAGGTACACTGAAAAGGTCAAGTTTCTCGATCCAATCGAGTCCGAGTATGTTTAATTTCGGACAATCGGTGAGATAGCATGTTCCTGAGAAGTGCACATTGTTGAATAACACATCACAAGACAACTTGCCTGTTAGTTTTAAAGTGCTACCAGAGGCGCTTTTGGCCCGATGGTGCGTGGAGGATAAAACAGGTTTCCCAATTGATTCCCAAACTGAACGTGATATTAATGTAATATCCGAAGCTGTGTCAAGCTGCAAACGGATCGGGAAATTGTTGATGGAAACTGTTATGTATTTCCTGCGGGATTCAAATTCAACTTGAAACGTAGCAAACAGAGAATTGGATTGTATTCGTTGCTTGTACGTCCGCCTTTTGATTGAGTCTTTCATCGGACTGTTATCGTTCTTTGGGTTTAATGGTGATTTGGCATTGTGGGTACGGCAAAAGCCTTCTTTATGGCCCCAACGATGGCACGCTTGGCACTGATGTTTCTTGAATGGACAAAAACGTGCGTAATGCCATTCACCACATGACCAACATGATGTTGGTGGCTTTTTTCCAGGACTGACAGCGGTTCGCTTCAATGTCCTGACGCTGCTGGAAATGGGCGATCGCGACTATTGCTGTACCATTGCGGTATCATGTTTGAGATTGCGCAAGCGCTTGCATTCTGTGGTGAGGTCTTTCACAGTAATGTCTTTTTCGTGCTCAAGTTTGGATAGCAATCGCGTGCGAATATCTGATTCCTGAGAAGATAGAAGTCCAGCGACAAAAATGAGGCATTTGAACTGATCTTCTGCAAGCGATTGCAATTGGAATTTCTCACATTCGCGATTAACGATACCGGCAAAAGTAACGTAATCGTCGGCCTCACGCTTGGCCAACTTGAGACAGTTGTATCGGACATTAAAAAGTGAATGTTGGTCACCAAAAATTTCGCGAAGTTGGTCCACCGTCTGCGCAAAAGTCAAATCTTTTGGGTGTTGTGGAAGGATAAAGTTGGTGAACCGGTCGTGTTCGAGGGTTCCAAGTTTCCGTACCAAGAGACGGGATTTCCACGCATCATCTTTGCCGGTGAACTCATTCAAGAATGTATCCTCCCAACGGCTGTACCACGAATCAAAGGTGAGACCAGATGCTGGCTCATAGTGAAATTCAGTTATGGTTGCAGAAATGGAATCCCCAAAGGATAGTGAGCTACTACTTTGAGATGAAACTGAAGTTTGGAGATTGATGACTTGAGTGAGAGTTCGGATAAGTCGCAATTGCAATTGTCCAAATTGCGCTTATTGTTGTTGAAGGATTGATTTCAAATCCTCAGCTGAAATTGACATTCTTGGGTTCGTGAAGGGTTCCCGTCGCCAGTGTTATGTTCTCTACTAATCAGTCAATCAACCTTGTCAGTTACACACGAAATTGAGAAGACGAAAAGCCTTGAGGAAATTATACTGCAGCAACTGAACAGCCAATATCGAGATTCGAAGAATCAAGAATGGAATGGAACAAAACAGTCCAATGAAAGGCTGAAATTGAGAGAGAGAAATGTTGAGCAATATGTTCGTTAGGAGTGCCTCCTAACAAAACTAAATGGTCCTGTGCTGTTCGGGAGGTAACTGCTACACGCATAGGTATTATGAATCAGGCAATCGTACCTTACTCACTGAGCCCTCGGACCAGTCCACCCTCATGCAGTCGACAGTTATCTCCATCTTCAACAAGGGTATGCGGACGCTCTGTGAAAATCACCGTGGCCTCAGCCTATTAACTGTAGTATCGAAGGTGCTCTCTGGTCTTTTCCTTCGAAGGTTGACTGAACGCACAATGAGAGACAGATGCGTGAACACCAAGCTGGTATCCGGCCTGCAAGAGGATGCATCGATCATATCTTCACCCTCCGACAAATTCCGGAACACCGACACTGCTTCCAGCAATTAGCAATGGTTGTGTTTCTCGATCTGAAAGCTGCCTTTGACTCTATGGACCGTCAGGCACTGTGGCAGTGTCTGCGGAGCAAAGGCGTCTCCCATAAATTCTTGACCCTCCTTAAGTCGCTATACGCCTGAGTTAACCACATTAAGTGGTGTCATACAGGGCTGTCCTCTTTGACCTTTCCTCTTCAACTTCGTCATTGATACGATCATGGAAAACTCACTACCAGCCTCTAATGTCTGTGGGGTCGAAGTGCTCCCTGGGCGTCCGCTCCCAGATATCGAGTACGCAGACGACATAGCCTTTCTTGACCTCGTGGTAGTTCAGACAATATTAGATAATCTAAATAATTCTGCCTCACGGTTTGGCATGCGCTTCACACCTGCAAAGTGTAAAGTGCTACTGCAAGACTGAGTGGTCTCGCACCCTAGCCTCATGCTTGCGGACGAGCCGAATGAGGTAGTCGACAAATTTGTTTACCTGGGCAGCTGTATCAGTCCCGGTGGTCTGGTGAAAGATGATATTTCCATCCGGATTGGGAAGGCCAGAGCAGCTTTTGTGAATCTGCGTCACCTGTGGCGTAGACGTAGCGTCAGCTTATCCGTCAAGGATCGAGTTTACAATGCTGCGGTGCGCTACGGATCAGAATCTTGGCCGTTGAGCGCTAAGGACGTCAAAAGACCTTCAGTGTTTGACCATTGATGTCTTCGGAGCATTGCCCGAGTCTGGTGGAACACCGGATCAGCAGTGCTGAAGTACGTTGAATGGTATTCAGTAGAAATAACTCACCCTAGATAAATGAACTGATCACACTGCATTGGTTGCGCTGGCTTGGCCACGTGCTGCGTATGTCAGTCGACCGAATTCCTTGAGGGGTTCTTTTCGCACAACCACATGAAATGTGGAAACGAGCCAGAGGCAGTCAAACAGTGACTCGGCAGCGAAGTATAAAAGCCATTACCGGCAAACTCAGCTGCGCTGGTCATTACCGTCTTCCTGGATGGGGACCCCGAGACGGGCCACAACAATGGTTGGAGACATTGTCAGACACGGCCCAGTCGCGCCCTCAATGTCGCTCATGCATCCAAGCTATTGCCTTCAATGCATAGCTCCCTGCCCAATCTCCCCACTTAAAAGTCCATTGGCAGTGCCGTATTTACGCACTAATTTATCGGCTCCCGCCTCCAAAGCGCAGCTACCTATCTCACCTCCCCAAAGCATCGATGAACGGGACTGTGGCAGCTACGACCACTGTATGGCAAGTACGCGGTTCTTACAGCTGACAGTGATGATGCTGATTATCCCCATGCAGCCAGGCCGGTCAGACTTGAGTCAATGGCTCTGGAAGTGGTCCCTCAACTAAAACCCTCACAACCGCTGCTTCATGGTTCGAACTTTTGAGCCAGAGGCTAGAGTAGGGGTCACCTGGAAAAACTACACACCCTCCCACTGCCTTGTGGGTCAGAATTTTGAGTCGAATCTTCAAGCAGGGAACCTTAAACAAAACCTTTTCGGTCTGCACAGAACTTCCATTTTGATCCATCAGCTATCAACCTTGTACCGTGGATGCGCTGGTTCTAGCTGCTACAGTTACGACGACCGGAAAGTGGAAGTGTGAGAGGTGCATTCAAGCGTTGTAGGATATAGCGCGTTAAGTTGGTCCGGGAACTAGGCAGCTACGCAATGAATGCGATGGCTTTGATGCACAAGCACCGCTGACTGCGCGATTGAGCCATTCATGTCAGTGTCACTCAGCATTGTTGAGATGAGTGCCCTGGTCTCCATCCATGGAGGTGGCAGTTGTCGACCAGACCGTATGTCACCGTACTTCGTTGCCAGGTCATACACTGTTCACCTCTCGGGCTGGACAAAAGAGAGTTTTGTGAAACAGACAGTACTCTGGCGTGCAAAGCACGTCCTAACCGGCGTAACTTATGAGGCGTAAGTAATTCATCTATCGCGGGAGAGTTCATCCTCAAAACCATCTGGCGTACCTCAGCTTTGAGTACGAGAACAAGACCGAGTAGCGTTGAATGAATAGCGTTTTACTTGTCTGAGAACAGACGTGTTTAAGCTGAAGGTGAAGGCAATAGCATGGTGAATCTGAACGCGATGGATAGTCGTGACATTCACCCGGGCCGTTGAATTTTGTGTAGAGAGGGGCAACTCGGACGCAGGGACTGAATGAGTTATTGTAAAAGTCTATTTAGAGGTAATGATAAATGTGGTCAGGCTTCTCGGTTTCCTAAAATGTTGGGTCGCGTACGTTGTTGGAGCCTGGCCAAATCAGAAATGTCAGGGTCATATGTATCTGGAGATGCAAATCCATCGCCCGGGCACGGGGGTGAGACTGAAGTATGACCGGCATTATCTTCAAGGTTATTGGGCAGAGGCGCGTGCAAGTCAGACAGAAGGGGTGTATGAACGCTCTTGCGTTCACTGAATGAAGTACGCGTGAGCTCGTTGACATGTGTGCGATCAATACAGGGGGCGGTATGGCGGACGGATACAGTGCCTTCTTTTCCGCCGGGAAAATGTCATGGGCGTAATGTGAATTGCAATTCATAAGTTCGACTTAATCAACGACTGGTTCATACTTTGAGGCACGGTGTGGCATTTGTGGAGACGCAGAGAAGGGACAAAACCTTTCATCCTCCCACTGCCTCACGGGTCAGACTTTTGAGTCAACGGCTCGAGTTTGGGTACCTCAACCAAGCCCCTTTCCTCGGCCTGGTCAACCGGGAAGTATCTTTTGTCCGCACAGTTCTGTGTCCAGTATATGCTCACGTGTGTCTAATACAAAGTAGTATACTGGTGTGTGGTTTGCTTATTGCCACCCTACTCTCTATGCCTTGTTCTTTTTCCCACTAGATGAGAAAGCTGAATTCATCCTTTTGATTCCCTTTTAGCTGTTTGGTGACACCTAGAGCTCCACGGATTGTGCAGAGTTGTGGCCAAGAAAGGCAGCGGGCTTGACGTTATGGGTATAAGCGAGAGTATTGCCCATAGCCTTGGAATAAATGTGCCCCAAGTAGGTTGTTACCGAAATGTCCATTCTACTAACCATATTCAGGTGTATTTTGTCTTGTGTCAGTTTATTGCCATACTATGTGGATTGGGCCTACGTACTTGGGTTCCGCCATGTCCGAACAATACCAAAAAACGACATCTACTGGAACTGTCTGTGGGAATACTGATCCTTTATGTGGGCTATGGACCGTATGTTCCTTGTTTTGACCTAATCCGTTGGGTTTGCGCATCTTTTTTTTCATAGGAGTATTTTGCACCTATTCGCGCAAGCGGTCCCGGCCTACCTGATGCTCGTGTTCATGCCTCTTTCAGTAGCCCAGTATGGAATCCTCCTATTTTCAATGATCTATCTGTCAGCTGTTCACATATATCAGCTGTTTGTCGAGGATGCTAATTCTGCGGATATCATTGCGTAAGATTTGGATGAAGCATTTGGTCTCGAAATTTACTCCTTTTGTTGCAGGCCCTTGATGGTGCAAACGCAAAAGCTATCCTCGCTGGCATTCAATATAAATGACGGTGTCAAAATGTCCTTGGGACTTCCTGTATTGCGTGAATATCATAAGCTCAGTGCGCTCGAGTGAGCAAATTTCATTTCTTCTCCAATTTTACCTTTTTTTGACAATATAACGTGTGAGAAAACTGAATTAGTCTACTGACCTGTTCATCAGTAATTTCCACAATTGTTTACGGCTTCATTGTTCAGTTATTTCCAACCGTTCATATAACATCAAACCGTACCAGCTTCATTCTTCACCTGATAGTGCTACCACGTTGCTACCGTAGAGAAGGCACTGCATTCAGAGGCTGTTCTCTCGCAAGAAGCCACCGACGTCCCTACCTTTTTAATGGCTCGTTGTCGTGTGGGAGAGCACTCTTAGCTAGTGCGGATGGTCAAGATCTGCACATGTCCACCGAGTACGGTGCATGATCAGATACCAAAGGATCTATTCTGTCTCAATACCCGGTGTGACGCTGTATGAATCTGTGCGGCAAGCGAAAACAAGCACCAACCATTCTTGTTTGTTTAAAAGTTGCTTCAACCCACAGGGTCTTCTGTTTAATTGTGAGTACCCTGGTCTTTCGTTTGACCCTATGATTCAACAGTCCACTTCTCCCGTCGCACTTTTTCTGGTGAATCCACAACAAAAGTAGAACTCCAAACCGCAGATTCATTCTTTAGGGTTTACCTGTAATGCACCTCTTCGACCACAGCGGGATTCGAGGTCTGGTCTGTTAGTCTGAGTCAGATGTGCTACGGCCACTCCAGCAGTGCACAACGTGCGCACCAGAACCATCATTCCCTCACTCCAAAACCAATGTGTTTTTGACCCGTTGTTCAAATGACAGACTGGACTGACCAGTTCTTCTCACGAACCTCTTTCTAACCCGACATATATATAGCTATCGAAACCGACCCTATTTAATTTGGACTGCCATGGTACGGAAAACGATGCCGAATCCATAGTGAGCCCATATTGAGCTTCGAATTATTTCCTGGCCTTCAACTGTGCAGCATACTGTCCGAGATCTGCACGTTAGGGGTCAGTTCATCACTGTCGGTCAGTCCATTGTTGACTTCATTCGTGCTGTACCCTATATAACCATCTCTGAAAAGTGTCGCGGAGTGAATAAGTGCTCGGTTCGGTAAGCTTTGACAGCTATATTCATCCCTGACACAAGTACACGCTTGCTCCCGAATAGGTTTTATGCCGTTCTAAAAGGGGTTAACTTTCCTTGTAGCTTGCATTGGCGAACTGCACATTGTTCGTAGTTTGTTTTCGGTTTTCAGCAGCCTTTTGAGTAGTGTCTGGGCAATGACTTTCTACATCTCTGTTTCAGTCGCAGACCTCGACTCTTACAACTTGGTGGCTACTTGTTTTGTTTCCACAACTGTATGGTTGGGCCATCCATGTTTTTCGCCGACTACGTACGCTTTATTGAAGGTCGTGAATCGGAACGGCTGACAGACCCGGTACTTCAACAACGTTTTGTAAGTGACCTAATTATTCGCGGATGTTCCTATTGATGGCCTGGTAACAACTTCGAACACTTCCTGATATAGTGAATGTGATTGCCATTGTACTGGAAGCGTGCCTGAAATTCTCCGAAGTTTAGACCTGCCATGTTTGTTGACAAGTTAATAACTGGCATGACTGTATTGATTGAAGTTGGGGTCCAATCTCTATCTGAAAAGGGTGAGGAAGTTTGACCGGACGCATATAGAGCCTGGGTAAAAGCGAGATGGCCCAAGTGTTCAGAGCGTGAATTTACTAACCGGAAGGTCCGTGGTTCGAACTAGACCTCTCTATTTCCCCTGTCTAGGCTTGGGCGACCTGGCAGTATCCCAGCCTTCGTGCCTCCTTCGTGTGGCATGGTAGCTAGGCACTAGAAAGGTGCTACAGCTGAACGATTATTATTTATTAAGCCTAAACTGCTGGTGTAGCGATTCTGATTCTTTACCAACTACACGCTTACGTGCCACTTCAGGGCCTACTCACTGCAAGAGATACATGTGACCAAGAGTTTGAAGACGTTCAAGGTCCTCGGATCAAACAGGCAGACCACCTTTAAAGTTGCCCTCGATACAGAACTCCCAAGCGTCAGATTTAGCCATAAATGATGTGGGTTGGCGAGTGCTTATTAAAAACGACTATTCGCGCACTGACTTCATCTTTTGTACTACATTCACGGCTTATGCGGCTGTCAAAATACGTGCAAGAATCAACCAATTCCAGTTCTCCATTCTGGACATTCAGGAATGCACAGCAGAAGAGGAAATCCTGAAGCGAGGCTGAAGATGCCATAAGCATGCTGAATCATGAAAATACCTGCGGGATCCCATATGAAGTGCTCTGCACCATCATCATCATCATCATCATCATCATCATCATCATCATCATCATCATCATCGACAGCACACGATCAATATTGGGCACTGATGCTTCACTGACAAGAACTTAGTTTACTTAAAAGCCTTATTGTAGAGAAAATAATAAACTTGAACGGGAAATCGACATAATGAATAATTAATTTCATCTGTCACACTACATCCGGAACTTGTGCCACTTCCGAGATGCGTTTAACGTTGCCCAACCTTAAATAGCAAGCGGTGGCAACTACTTGAACACCTCGGTTTTGAAGACCTTCCAGCGTTCATCCCATAGGCTCGTCGATCACGAGATCGAATAGGAATGGAGAGCTTCGGCACCAGGTCGAACACTGCCTTGTGTACGGAAGCCTTTGTAGGGCTCCCTTGCAAGTCTGGGATTTAAAAAACACTATATTGACAAACGTTTGGGACAGTCACTACTGAGTAGGCGTGTTATGGTTAGGAGACCAGTCAGATGAACCAAATACATATTCGAAATCCAGGAGTACTCAAGGTGTTGGTCGCTTATTGGTATGGCGTAGTTTTAGCACCCTTATCCAGACGACCTCGATTATCCCTAAAGTGTGTAGAAACAGTTTGCATTCAATACCGTTGTCTGTGCATAGCTTGTTCAATCCAGTAGATCATCGTCAAATTCCCGACAACAATGCTCGAACTTTTAGGTCGCCGTACAAGACATTCAGAGTGTTGTGATGGTTGTCTTTGGTGGTATCGGGCCTTCGGTTGGTTGGGGCATAATCTGAAACGATAAGGGGACAGCGATCAAATTCCTGCTTGTGACAAAGACATTGCCATATGGATCGCAGAGAAGCCTCTAAAGAGGGGTATCCATTCAAGTCAAACTATTCCGCCCAGGCAACACACGTCTATATCGGCCCCTGTATAGCCTACAGTAGCGACTAGCAGTGCAAGGCCGGAAACGAAAGGAATAACAGAATTATAAGATCAACGATGGTGTGTAGATCTTGAATTTTCGTTCCTGATACACAACACGTCCTTTGCCAATATGCTATTGAAAGCTCTTACCTGTTGTCCCACTTACCTCACTAAAACACCAAAAACAGCCAGAAAAATATACTTTTAATTTGGAGGATTGATTTAGAGATCCCTGAGGCTTTGAGTGCCGGCCGAAGCACAGATTTCGCGGCCATGACTAACGTGAGCTGAATACGTTGTTATTTTCAACGGGTGGGCCTACAAGGAAGGTATTGTTAGTGGGATGCGGATGGGAAAACAGAAAGTACGTGAAGAAGAAAGAAACTAGACGTCAGCAGTAGTCCGTTTTCGCTCAGCCGTCCTGATTTGTGCAGCAGTTGATATCAATACGCGACATCCGATGTGGCATGAACTTATTTTTGGCTTTAGTAACCGTTGTTGTACGCGTGAGCTGAATACGTTGTTATTTTCAACGGGTGGGCCTACAAGGAAGGTATTGTTAGTGGGATGCGGATGGGAAAACAGAAAGTACGTGAAGAAGAAAGAAACTAGACGTCAGCAGTAGTCCGTTTTCGCTCAGCCGTCCTGATTTGTGCAGCAGTTGATATCAATACGCGACATCCGATGTGGCATGAACTTATTTTTGGCTTTAGTAACCGTTGTTGTACGCGGGCTGGGATACATCCAGGGCGCCTAAACCTTGACAGGAGAACGATTAGGGTCATCAACCCATGTTTTTGGTCTAAAAGTCTTCCCGCAAGGTAGTGGCACTTGGCGAGAAGTGCCAGTGCGTTACACTGTCTTAAAGTAACAGGTCACCTTGCGTGTTCCAACCCTGTTGTTGACCAACCTTGGACTAGTATCTAAATAGCACAACCTAACCAACATAGCCTATCGACTTTGAGTAGCTCGTCTATCTTAGCTGAACTGTTTTAGCCGAAAACCAGATTATGTAATCCAGTACCATACGGCTGGATTCTCCTACGAGGTCCGGTTAATAGATATTCAGATGCATGGATTCATTCCTGTTACCTCTGCGCACTGCGACTCAGTCTCTGAACAGCTAAGCTATGCGATCACACGACATCGATCAGACATGCTGAGAGTACGTGATGAACACTGGTCTCTTGGATGATGCATTCGTTTCTTGGTACTTCAGTAGGTGGAGCCTTGTCGGTTGGCTCGTGCGTAAATGTTATTTGTTTTTTTATGGATTCTTTTTTGTCAGACAGCACTGCGTAAGTATGCGGAACTATTCAAATTCCGTCAAGTAAATTTCACTTCTGAAAGGTCGCATCGAGAAACGGCCACTTCTCTTGCACATGGTCCAGCTACAACTTAAGTATAATTTAAATGGATGTGAAGAGTACCGATTAACGTGCCAAAACATCCTGGGACGTGTGACCAGAAAGCGCATGCCAATCGATGACTGACGTCTTACGATCCGTTGCACGAATCCAACATCTACTATCCTACTTTTTCTGCATTACTGATGGATATCCAACAAGTTTCTAACCAACTCTGTATGAGGATCCCCTAACTGCTGTACTGCAGGCTCTGATTAGCGCAGTCACATGGCAGTTGAGTCCCTGTTTTGTTGTTTGATGACTGACAACCAATATCCACTCTCATCTGTTTATTGTGGCAATGTATTGAGAGACCACTGGTTACTATCCATCTCAGAAAGTGGTCTGTCCCAAGTGAGTATAATTTCGCTGTCTACACACGAATAACTGAGTTTGTTCGTTACGTGAAGGGGAAGTTCAACAGAGGCCCCCATATACTTATCTGTATGTTTTCATAAAGGAAACTGCTCACAAGTTTGCTAAAAACTCTTCGACAGCCCACGACTGGTTTCGCCCTTCTTGGGGCTCATCGGGTAGGCGCATTCCCCGAGTTTTTGTCGACCTTACGTTCTACTTGAACCCAAATTGGACCGCTTCTGAGAAATACACTCATTTGCAAATCAATTTGTATCTGTATGTTTTCTTTTAATGTCTTTGATTCCGCCAAGTGCACAAAACGGTTCTCTTAGACTATTTCTGGTTAAAGCCCTCATGGTCGTGACTGAAAGAAAGGTGACTCATCTCATTTCCGAACTAACCCACTAGAAGCGCTTTATCGATGCCACAATGATTGTCGGCATGAGGCATTGGTCTGGTCATTGTGTTTTCTTCAAGTCAAGATTATTGACCGGATTCTCGCCATAACCGACGAAACTTAGGTTCGTTGATTCCTACTTCATCGGGTCAAAACATGTATTTCTGTAGTTTCAACACTTCGAAGTGCAAGCTAAGTGTTTTCAAGACCGTGTTCTCGCACTTTACAGGAAAGTGCAAACTCCTTACACTTGGTCACCGCACCAAAGTGCACCTACAAGGTTATGTTTAGGGTGATGCGTTTATTGAGGCCAAATCCCGTCGTTTATTCCAATACAAAAATAACTACTGGAGAGAGTTCACAGCATTCCAGAGGTCCTGTAGGTTTGGATCCATTTGGTAGACCAAAACCTAGCACCAGTCCCCAATCGCAAGTCACCTTTTTCACTAAACTCTAGGTATTTGTTTTTCATCTGTTTTTTTGAACCCAGTGTTCATTACTCTGCTGGTTCGTCGGTATCCACCTATTCTGCGGTTAATGTGAACAGTATATTCTGACTTCAAACGGGCGCGTGACCTAGCATGGTTGTCATTTCTTCTTAACTTCTCACTCAAATCGGTCCATGACCGATCATTGACTGACAGTCCGCAATCACGTGACAGTATGGAATTCCTTCTTCTACTAATGCACTACGAATAGCTTAACGCTACCGAATCGCATCTACTAATTAAGTTTTAATTAACAAGGGATGCAGTTGATTTTTTGAGCATAAGACACGAGTGCATATTGGGCGCTTGTGATGGATTGGTGCTGCCGTAACATCTGGCAATGAATAAAATCAAACGTCGTCTGAAAATCTGTTTCAACGGCTGCATTTTTACCGCAATTTATGAAGTGGATTTCAAGCGAAGAGCAGTGTATGACTGGTTTGATCTCCTACATCTTAGCCTTATTTACTCGTTTACTCTAAATACGGCGCCTCTTTTTTTGCTCATCCATGTAGCCGTCAAGGTGTTATATCATATCCTTATCTCGGATTTGCACTTACTCTTCCAAACCTAATCCAACTAACATGGGCCTGGGGGCGAGATGGCCCAAGTGGTTAGAACGCAAATTTACTGGCCGGAAGATCCGTGGTTCGAATTTGACCTCTGCCTCTCGGCTTCCCTTGTCAAGACTTGGACAAACTGGCAGTATCCCGACTCTCGTGCTTCCTTCTGATGGCATGGCATCGAGGCATCTAAATGGTGCCACAGCTTTCTTCTGATGGCATGGCATTTAGGCATCTAAATGGTGCCACAGCTGAACCATCTTTGTACGTATGCTTTTATTATAGCACTTGACGAAGTGCGAACATTTGGTGAACGAAACCCTTACCAGGCCGAAATCCCGCATGTTGCTCGTAAGTCAATGTTTCGAGAGCCACCGTAAGGTGACGAAGCACAATTGACTCCAGTAGTCTCGTTACAACCGGGATTTGGCAGATTCCCCTGGGGCTACCACACCCACTACGAACCACTTTCTTGAAAATGGGCGTTACCATTGGATCTCTTCAGTTGTCTGGAGCAGTCTCCTTTTCCCAAATGCTGGCAAACAGATCAGACAAACGATGACTGAGGATTTCATCATCTTTGAACAATGCGAATGGGGTCATCCGTACCAGAAGCTCGATGCTGTTACAACTGAACAATTATCTATTTTCTTTCATATGGGGCTGCTATTTGCACTCCAAAATTCAGAATTCATTTTCCAAAAGTGATTCGTAATGAGAACTCCGTGGTCTAATACCCAATTTTCCTCGCCTGTCATTCAGAAACACACCTACGCCCGTCTTCTGTGTGGAGCCGGGTGGGTTTTGCGCGACGATATGAAAATTGCCCACTTGATCACGTTGTGCCGTACGCATTTTACCGGTGTGTACATTCTGTACGCCTACGATCGCGTGGATACTTGCATAATTTTCGAGGTTAGGCCTGGTCCAACTGTGTAAATACGGTCTAAGTGCTGCTGATGCGTGTAGTTTACCACTATCCGCATCAAGTTGTATAGTTAAACTGAGTGGAAGAGACCATTTACCACAGGATATCACGTCAACGGTATCGTTGATGCGATCCCCGGCTGCTAATTAGCGCACGCGAATGTTTGCCCCAGAACTAAGATGTGGTGCCCACAATAAGAATCTGAATACAGATGGATAGTATTTGCCTCGCAGTTTACGAAAGTACACTCCCCCAGGTCTCACAGTGGATCCATAATAAGCAGGTAGTTTCAAGTTGTCATGTCGATGTTTCCACATGTCTGAATGAGTATGTCTACGGCTGTGTTTGGTGTTTTTCGCCATGATGAGCCTGCTGCTAGAGAGAATAAACAGCATACGACTTGACAATAAGACTGCTTTATACTCTTGTTGTCTCACAATTTGCTACACTCACCAGGATCTTACGTACATAGTGAACTCAGTTTTATTGTGCGAATACGTGGCTTGTGCTTTTGACAGGTTGATGTAGATCTACACAATCGTACCTATTCAAAAAGGGCTACTGTGTTGGATGTGTTTGGTTCTGTTAACAATGTGCGCATCAAATAGACTAGCTAGGCGGATTGTTCTTAGTGCCAGTCAGTGCTTGTTTTGAGAATTGTGTTCTTGGCACGTCTATCCATAGTTTTATGGGGATACTGATCACCTGTCTCGCTGTTATTGTCGTTCGTGTGGACTATTTGTTTGTTTCCAAATATTTACCTTGGACAGTGTTCGTTGTGTTGACTCCCTACAGGTTTGCGCGCTTCTCATCGTGCTCAAGTTACCGAAGCTCATATGACTAAATATATCTCCACACTCGATAAAGTGGGTAATTATTTGCTTTGAATCCTGACCGAAGTTCGAGTCGAATAATACGTTATTGGGTGAACAAACATTTGGTTGCTAGCTAGGCGAGTTTCGCGAATGGACAGTGTAGCTGGTTTTGCATAAAACCAACCTTCAAACGGTTGCATGGCGTTGCTATTAAACTGCTTACACAGGACAATCAACCTATCGCGTTTTATTAGTACGACGCATCGCACTCTTCGTGAATTCGGTGAACGTGATAGCTTTCACTTCTTTCATCTTCAGTGTTGTCACGTGATCGTAGTGTACTTTTAATGTTGGCAATGCTCCACCCAACGAAGCTGTGTTTGTTGATCAGGTGGCTGTTGATTTGTTCGTCGACCCAAAGGCATCCTATTGAATAACAAAGCAAGATACATGCAGAATACATACTGGATGAAGAAAACCTTCCACACCAGTTATACGGTACCCTAGCAGTTCTCTAACAGAAAACTCCAGTGTAATTGATTGTTAAACGATGCTGCGGGTTTCTTAGATGTCTAGTTCCCTTTGGCTAATCGCGAAGACTAGTTAGTTTTATTCAAGCCTGATGTTTTGTTTACAAATTATGACACGAAGGATAGGGCAGATGGTCCTGAAAGGGGAGTAGACCAAACCAGCACTAGTCCCAACGGTTAGTTCACAACTGTGATTGCCGTTCCCGGTTTTGCACGCTCTTTTCGACAGACTTCGAAAAGTACACTGCTTTCTGCGCCGGTGCGTGAATTAAAACGACCAGTAAAACAATACTCGGCCTTGATGTTGTGGTCGCATGACTCGCTGTTCACGTGATTCACAAGCTGTGGTGGCTCAAACCTTATGCTTAGTTATTCCAAATTCTATTATTTGAATTGGTGTCTAGTTAATCAGCAATTTCTCCAAGTTTCGCAGACAGATAGACGTGACCATGTGTACTCCAAGCAAAGTTCCGATCTCCAGGCAGTTATTAATCGTGAGCTATTTGTTATGTATTACAAACATGTATGAATTTAGAGCAATCCTATTTCAAGTGAAGGCCCCTTCTTTCTGACGACCCGCGCTCTGGTTATCATACCGACCATCTAACCCTCTAGACCTTCTATTCCTGTGTCCCCCTGCGGAGAACTAACTGCACACATTTTTTGAAAGTGTCACTGTCCACGTCATGGTACTCTGATCTATTCAACTCCATTTTCTTTTCGCGCTATCTAAATTAATCAATCCATTGTAGCGCTATGCGGTCACCAAGTGCTAACGTACTTCCAGTTCTCCCTCGTCCAACTAGGATCTGATCGGCAGTCCTTTGTGAGCTAGGTCCACGGAGGTTTCTGTGAAGAGCTTGCGGTTTCAACGCCGCGCTATTTTGAGACCAATCTGCGGCCTTTCTCGAAAAGGAACTTTTAAGAGTTGAAGAACATCTAAAGTAGGGTTCCCAGTCCACCACCTATCAGTGTGTAATTCTCACCTCCAGGAAAGGTAAGCCTTTTACTTGAGAATTCACTGCTCTTTCGTTGTTCCATCTTATCTTGCGTTGCACGTCATGTGCGCTAGTATATGTCTTTTGTCACCTGCTCTAATCATTACAATTTTGTTTTTCCTTCCAGCTGGAGCATAAGGATGAAATCCGGCTGTCCAGGGTATGTGTTGTTTCGTCTGTCTATTGTTGTTCCACCCACACAAATCACTCATCCCACTAAGTATTGTTCACTTGAGCTGTCCAACCTTGGTAGCTGTTTACATGGTTAGAAAATTTTTCCGCACTAATATCCCAGTTTGTGATAATTCCGTGTGCAGATATCGCGGTTTTCCTTCCGAAGTGGGAGATTGTGCTTTGGATTAGCAGCAAGACGTCACCTTTATTTTGAATGATGGGCATTTGTGAGCTCTCACAGCTTTTCCCGTACCTCTGGGCCCGAAATCGCTGTGTTTAAGGCGCCAGCATACGGACCCAACCTCAGCACCTCGACTGCTCCTGTCTAGGCTTGGGTAACCTGCCAGTATCCCAGCCCTCGTACGTCCTTCCGTTGGCATGGCAGCCAGGCACCGAAAGGATGCTACAGCTGAGCGATTTCTTACCCATAGACACCGAAGCATACACATTCCTTGAGCTACCCTGTGTTCTCACCTTCAATAACTCGGCCGTTTATCGAGGTTCTGATGTACATTTAATTTAAATAGGTTCAGTTTTCCACACACAAGACTATCCTTTTCTCTGACGTGTCATTTGCCTTTCGTTCTCTGCCCGTTTGGTTCAGCTGTGGCTGTTGTTGGAGGCCCACCTACGCCATACTCTCTTAAGCATCACGACGGTTGACTGAGCTGTCAACAATTCGTTAGGATCCGTATGAGCGAGAAAACGAAGGATGGGTTGGGATTTAAGAGGTTGTTGAGATGGAGCTTTCTCCTTAACCTTGTGATCGATTGAGGCACGCTTAGGAACGTGAACAACTCCCTGAAATATCTGCTTCATAATTAACTTGGGCCGGCTCTTCTGTTGCTTATAATCTCGTTCGCAAACTCAGATGTGCATCAACTGCTGGCGGCTCCTTTTGCGCTGGGTACAGTACTTTACTACCATCCTGTGACCTCCAAGCTCTGTTGGTTGCTTCGGCCTAAGACGAACCACAAAAACGGGACCTCATTGATTTTTCATGTGGAGCTATTTCTGCTGTATATTAGTAGCATTAAAACTAGTTCGAAAGTGATTTTCAACTCTGCAGCTCCGGTTTAAGCAATGTGTTTAATAATACTAGTATTAAGAATAATCATTCAGCTGTAACACTTCCGGTTTCCGTCGACCATTCCACTCGGGGTTTAACAATCAATGTGTAAACGGATATCGGTTATTTTGGTGTTAAGTCTCAGTGGACAGGCTCACGTGATTAATGTAAAACTCTGCTACTTATAAGGTTGCTGAAAGCTAGCCGACAGCCAACTATTGGTTTCGTTCATCAGCTAGGCATGGTCACCGAGTTTTCATTCACCTCATGTTATAGCCGGAAACGCGTCAATCCGTAACACCCTTTCTCCCGTTTTTGCTTTACAGTCGCAACTTCACACACGTTAGCGTATATTAATCCCCCTTCATCCATTGTTCCAGCACTAGCCTAGTGAGCAAATGTTACTAAGCGACTCCATAAACTCCGCAACAGATCTCTCCTTTTCAAGAGACGCAAAGCGAAATTCCAAGAACAACACATACTACTCGCATGCCTCCCCATCAATAGTATCACCGTTGCACACCACCCTTTAAAGGTCGTTCGCATGCGATCGATTTTCATTCACCTTCGTCAGGTCGGCTTCGGCAGCGGGTCTAGTCGGTCGCTCTTCGAGTGTGTCATGCCACTTTCGAAGCTGTGTCCCATTTACTCTTTTTGATCCTCGATCGTCTTCAATTGTATAGACGTTCCCCCGGCGGTCGGTAACGACAAACGGCCCTTGCCATCGACTGCCTAGCTTCCGCGACCTAAGTCCACTCCTTCCAGGATTCTGGTGATCCTTCCACTTAACCTGCGTGCCTAGTATCCGAGTATCAGGCAGGTCACTTGTCACTTAACCACATGCCTGCTTGATATGTTTGGCATTTTAGTCGAAATCACTGGTTGCTTTCACAACGACATTCCCACTCATCCGCCATTCTTACAGACTGCTCTTGTTTCCAACCAACTTACACTGAATAACCTGTAGTTCCTACTGAAAAATTAGAAAGCAAACGAAACATCTTCTTGCAATGTCTGTCATACAGGTAAACAAAGACCTGGGCTAGTTTGCAGTCACTACTTAGTCAGGTTGGTTAACCTTTTGGCCAGTGAAGTCGTTAGATTGCTACGTGCTCTCCGCTATTCAGTGTGACCTCATCGTGCACTTGTGTGATCTCCTCGTCTCATGACCTCCGCATGCGACCAACCTAGCGATCTGCTTTTGACCTACTCTCTGAGTAACAACTAGCCTGAGGTCTGGGTTGCCGTCGCCTAAATGACAACTTCCCTCTCTTTCTCAAACAGAGTGAAGTCTGGAAACAGGTGAAATTGCTGGTGATCCACACGCTGCTCACAGTCTGGGCGTTTTCTAATTTCAAGGCCGAAAATTTCATCAGTAAGTTGTGGCCTACAATTAGCTCTTATGTTTATGCTATTTGACCGCTGTTTGATATGCTGTCCCGTGATAGTTTACTGAAGTCCTTTTTTCACCATTATACGGTTCGAGGGTAGTGTTTTCAACTAGTCTAGCTGTGTTCGAATTTGATTGCGCCGCTTGATCAGTGCACTTAATCGGTCTCATACCCTTTTATTTAGCTATCGGCTCAGGCTCAACTGATGATCCATTGAGTTTTGAAAATGTTCAAGTTGGTGTGAAAAAATAAGAGGCGAAATCTGTCGGGGAATCCACTAGGAAAATCAAAGTGTTCACTACTTGCGGATTTGCAAAAAAAACCTGTTCCTCTTAACCCTGTCCGCAAGCAGGTCTTTTGTTTACACTACGCAATGCATGGTCACATGTAATCAGCGTGTACCAATAAATAACCTGTTGATTCGTATAGCTATGTGGATGAAGCCACTTTTTTCCGGAGAGACAGTCTTGGTTTTGGCTGCGTTCCGCTTACCCTACTGCGGACAAGAAAGAACGATCGGACGAACTGCTTTTCGACGGTTTTCACTAGCCAATTCGTATTTAACAGCCAGCCAATGCGTGACGTCAGCCATTTTAGCAAGTGCACGAGTACTCGCACTTCTGGTACTGTATTCCTGCGTTCCTTAGGCTAAGTAATGGTGTTTCGGGTAAGAGCGTCGNCCCGAACTTCGGTTCCAATGTGCTGAGATACATCAGGTGCTTTTGGGATGTTACTGTGGTAGACGAGTTTGTCACATCATATAGGTTAGACCCTCTTCTTCGCATATCATAGGGCTGTCCACATCGCCTCAAAGGTTTAACTTTTATCGCATATGAAAGCCCCGGCCAGTAAAATCCATTGCCTTGAAGGGCTCCGTGTCGGGATACGATGGCTAACGATGCTGCCAGAGAGTCGAAACTCATGATGATTGGTGAGAGCCGGCCAAACGTATTACATCCACTAAGCACCGTGTCCGATGGCCACTCTGCATTCCTAGTAGTTCGTTTCAATGTTCGTGTTAGGCGGAACTCCACACGGATCCCTCTTTACCGCTCGTACTCAGATGCTGCTACGGCCGAGCAGTTCATCCCACGCAAGATTGGCCAAGAATTCTGGACACTTGGCAGTCCGGCATCAAGCTGAGATCTGATTGGTCTAAAGTCTGGTCCCCACAGCCAATCATGACCCAGTATTGGCCGAATGCCGATTGCTCATGGCGCATTCAGAACGCGTCAGAATTTCCAGAAAGTTATTGCCGCCTACGCTATACATATGAAGCGCCGTACAAGTGTTCCTGACTGAGTTTTGGGCGTTAATATACCTTTGCACCTTTGGTGGGTTGTTTTAACGTGAACGCTAGCTTGGGAGAACTAAGCTGAGAAAAACACCGTTACTACAGTCAGTGAAATGGTTAGGCCTGCTTTTTTGTACATGGCTGTGTCTTCTCACTGTGTCAGTCGGAAGGTTTACTGTGCGGTCTATGGCTGAACTAAACCAATAAAGCTAGAGGACGTAGGCTCACATTCAGTTGTTGCTCTATGAGTTATTTACAATCGTACAAACTTACTAATAAATTTCATCCTAGGCACCCTGTTTTCGTCGTTAGGTTTATGTGACCCGTTATGTCAGGCACTAGGTCACCCGTGAGTGTGCGTACCAGTTTCGTAAACTCTTTCGCTGTTCACGGCAACCTTGCACATGTTCATTCATTCTGCTATTCTTTCTTTTTTCACAGGTGAAGAATTTGTCCGGAGAAACTTCTTCCAAAAATACATTTTCCTCTCCATCGCATGCTTTGCATTCCGACAAAAATTCTACTTTGCGTGGACTTTAAGTAAGTAATACGGTTTTTTCCATTTTGTTACTCGATAGGGAACAAAGAGTTGACTGACGCTAGAACAGCATACATGGTTGAGGCACTGACCACCTAAACCAATTACTTTTCTGGTCCGTAAATGCTATCTTTATTGCCACCAGTGAGTTGTGCAAACCCATGGATGATATTTTAATCAGAACAAGGTGCCAGAAGAAAGCGCTGCATTCCAATTCAAAAGCCCTAGAAATTCGGTTATTGTGGACCGAATCGGATCAGTTTGTTGATTTAAGGATGGATACCGTTTGTCGTGAGGAGTGAGCCTACCTACTGTGCTTTACCACCATAGGTTGATTCCAACAATCTGTTGAACCACATCGAGTTACGCGCAAAGCCCCAAAAACCAAATCTTTCAAATGGAGGTCTATCTACAAATGCGGTACTACAAGTACAATAGTAAACTGATAAAGCTTTACAAACCTCAAATCGTGGGACTATGCCGGCTTCTATACGCCGGTTTAGGAACTGCCAATTCCTAACGGGTCTCAAGGTCCACGCCGGCTCAAAGCCACGTGTTTACAAGCTAGCGTGTGAACTTAAACAACACGTCTGATGACAAGGTCAAAGTGCGGTTTATGTTCAGGTCAAAAATAAGAAGAGTGGTATGGGCGCAAACCAAAATAACAAAAGAGGGGGACTCGCGTTGTACAATATAAAAATAGAAGAAAGGAATCAACAACTACCATGCCTTTGCTTTCGAAGCCTAGACCCATTTTGAGCACCCCTGAGTGCTACACAATAATGTCGAGGAAGTTATCTAACCAACCCTGTGATTGTTGGATTGCTACTTCGATGAGGTCGACTGGCCGTGACGCTCCGTGATCTGTACAAACCGAGTTTCCGTTTGTCTAAGTGCTTCTGAATGTCGTCAGCTTATTCTCCCCTATCCGGTCAGGAACGGTCCCCTCTGAGGATTAAACGCCATAATTCACCGACCTTCTCCCGAAATCTCAATGCGCCTGATTTGATAATTCACTTGATATCCAATTCCCTTGATTTGTTTCTAGTTTTCCTTACCAGAGAGAAGTGAAAATTCATACTTTAAGCTTCATAACGTGTCTTTCAGGACTAACTCAAGACCATCACTTTACAGAGGGACTTGTCGTGCCCGGCTCCGTGCAGTGCTAATAGCAGTCACGGTAAACTGAGCTATTTGGTTGGACAACAGAGTCGCGTAGTTGCTTTGTGTTCGAGATACGGTGATGTATTTAATCTTCCCAAAAAGAACGTGTGATTTCTGGAGGATCTAGCCTATACAGGTCGTGTCAACATCACCACTCGTTAGATGCGAGATGTTCCTCACTCGCCAAAACCGACGTGAATATTTAGGTAATCTGGGCCCTCCGATGCAGACCATTTGTTTTGGACAGCTGAAGACCTGAACACTGTTTGGCTTCGCCACTGGTTTCTGGTCCGATGATGTGCGTCGAGTGCTCAAATTCCAAGTTCAGTGCGCCGTACCACTTCTGATCGACCAGTCTGACAGCTGAACTTACCCTACAAACGTGTGGCCGCACGGTTTCTGTCTAGTTGGAATATTTTATCGACAGTAATTAGCATAGTTATTCTTATCCGTTCCAAGAACGTTCTCAAGTATTTTTGAGCTAACTTTCTGGATGATGACTCAGTCGCTAGGCTCTTAATCCAACTCTGCTTGTCACGGGGAACTTCAAGTAAATATGGTTCATCTGAGTCGAGGAGACTTCAATCAAAGTTAGGCAATGAACGGATCGGAGCGTCGTCAGAAAAATAATCACTCACACTGCCTGCGTTGGTCACTGCTTTCTAAACTACGGTCCTGTTACTCAATCGAAAAAGTGGATTTCCGGCGTCAATCACTTTCGAAGTAGTCAAGCTTGTTGTTGGAGGAAGTTGGCCCAGCTTGATCTTTCCTTTTCGAACAAAACTTTACACCTCAATAGCTCGGTAACTTCGTGCTTTCGAGTGTAAAATGCTTCACACTTTTGAGTAGCCCAGGGGCACACCCTTGAGTTCCACTGATCCTTGCTACATTGGATCACAGTGTATGAAGGGTGTCACAACCGAATCAAGCATCTACCTGATGAAGCATAGGCTAATAACTCCACCTTCACTCTGGTTATCAGACGGATCTGGTTTTCATTGTGAAATTGATTCGATTAAATAACTTGGGGAAACCCTAGGCTGTCGGTCTATTTTCGTACATTTTGGAGCATCCATTGTGCAGTCCATTAACACATGTTACTACGCTGGAAGCCAGTTTCTTGCCTGTCGGAGTATGATCGCCTCTTTGGCGTATGACAGTCGATCACTATGCTGAGTTTTGATATATCAGGGGGTTCATGGTTAACTGGACTGTAACGTTTACTTCAGAGAGACATTTGAAGGTTACCAAACAAACAACTGAAGCAAGATTAAACAGCGAACGACGAACAGCAAAGTGTTGGCGGACTCGAATGTTCCACTCAGTGAGTCTTGTCAAAAGAATGGGCATTTAGGCACCGAATAGCATTCCGTGATTTTTCTTCGTTGTGATGTGTTTATGTCTAACGGGGGTCAAATAAGAAAAGAATGCATGCGGACGCATGCAGCATATTTCTTCAACTATTTCTCATTTGATTCAAGAGACATTGAGTTGTCGCATTTGTCGTTTACTTGTAGTGGGGACTTCTTACAGAAAGGGCCACTTCGACCTTGACCCATGAGTGATCCCTAGTGGGTCAACTAAGATGGAGGCTACCTGGAAGGTCACTTTCCTGAAAGTAACCACTGAATGCCCGAAATCTACCGAGACTCACCTCCGCTAGATGTGACCAGACAGACAACGCCCCCGCAATATGCAGCACGTCACAGCCTCGTACGAAAGCCAGACCGTGTGCGTCAGCATTAGACTAAGTTCAGACAGTGTCCTTCCAATAAATAGCTTGAGACCGTTGTACTTATCGCACTCGCACGCACTCACGCTCTCGTACTCGCTTGTTCGGAATATAGCTGTTGTTTTCCCTTCTGTGAGTCTTTTTTCTCCGGCAACTAGGCACTGGAGCGGGTCGGCAGCAGATACCACAGATTGGCGGATCAGCAGATATAACAGAGGCCATAATGCATCACCGAGTGGTTGATTTCCTTCTTAGGTTAGCTGTGGTTGGTTCGCAGTTGGTTCACTTACCATTGTCCTGGTTTCACTTTGAGCATTCCAATGGCACGCTTTCCACTTCCTGTAGGGCGATCTTGTTGGTGAAGTTTTCCATTAGCGCAATACACTCGTTTGCAAACTAATTTGGTCTTGCGAGAGACTCACCTGGAACCCAGCTGAATCTCTCGTTTGTGATGTTTTACATTAGTTTTGCGCATTCGTTTTTGATACCGAACAGCATATTACATCGGTTTCCTTCAAAGTCCTCCTCTCTCCAACTTTTGTTGCATTAGGTTTTCCCACCGTCTATCCGCTTTTGTGTCTGTTTCTTACCATCGCCTATGTCGTTCTATCCAATGTGGCTGTTAACTATACTATCTCCCCCTGACATTGTCGTTTCTAGTGCGGTAAGATCACCCAAGCAGGACATTAGAAGCACAGATTCCTCTTTGTCTATTTTTTTGTGCGTTGGGTTCTTCGTTTTTCACTTACTCTAATTAGTTCCGACAACTCAGGCTGCTGCTGAGTGTGTTCAGTTTTCAGTTTGATGACTACCCATTCACCAACCAGCTTCACGCCTTTGGCATAAGTATACGAACGCGCGCACACACACACACGTACGCTTATGGATATATACAGTCTTTGGAATGGGAGCAAGAGCGTCATGTGAAAACCATCGTGGTATCATCCTGGTATCCGTCGCATCGAGGGTGCTCTCTGGGATTATTTCGCGCAGATTGATGGAATGTCGGGAGAGGCAGAGAGCCAAGCCGGGTTTCACTCTGACCGAGGATGCATTGATCATATCTTTACCTTGAGATAAATCCTTGAACAGCGCCACTCTTTCAAACGTTCTCGATTTGGAATCTGCTTTTGACTTTGTCGATCGTCAGAAACTTTGGCAGTGTCTGGCAATCAAAGGTGTCCCTTCCAAATTTCTCTCCCTTATGAGGGCGCTGTATGCGAACTCTTCTGGGCGCGTACGGGAAGCTCTCGCTTGAGTTCACCACGCCCAGTGGTGTAAGAAGGTTGTCCTCTCTCACCTTCCCTCTTCAACTTTGTTGTCGATGTGCTGCTTGAGATTTTTCTCTGAAACTTCGGGAGTCTAGTTGCTCCCGATACGTTCCCTCACAGACATTGGGTTTGCAGACTATATTGCTCTCCTTGTTTCATACCCTTCCCAAATGCAAAATATTTTAAATAACCTAAATAGCTCTGCTGCATGGTATGGCATACTCTTCACACCCGCGAAGTATAAAATGCTGCTACAAGGCTAGGTGGGATCGAACCCGCATCTCATGCTTGCAAGCCAGCCAATCGACGTAGTAGATAGATTTGTTTACCTGGGCAGTTGTGTAAGTTTCGGTGGACTGGCTACAGATGAGGTCATTTCTTGAATCAGAAAGGCCAGAGCAGCTTTTGCTAACCTCCTACACCTATAGCGCCGACGTGACGTGAGTTTGTCTATCAAGGGTGGATGCACCACACTATGGTGGTGCGATCCATACTGCTTTACGGATCAGAGACATGGCCCCTACACGCAGATCGCTCACCCTTCCGGTGCCTACCCGACATGCTACCTGGAGGAAGCACGAGGGCTGGACTACAGTCAGGTTGCCCAATCCTACATAGGGGAAGCCGAGATATAGAGGTGGGGTTCGAGCTACGGATCTTCCGGTCAGTAAATTCGCGCACCAACCACTTGGGCCATCTCGCGCAGAGGACATACGAAAGCTGTCAGTATATGACCGTCGGTGTCTCCAAAACATTGTTCATGTCTGGTTGAAACATTGAATTGGCAGTGCTGAGGTACGCCAGATGGTCTTAGGAAGAAAGAACTCTCTCGCGGTAGATGAATTACACACGCTTCGTAGGCAGCGCTGGTTGGGACATGTACCTTGCATGCCAGAAGACCGTCTGCTTCACGGGGCTTTTTTCCCCAGCCCTATGCTGAATGGAAGCGACCTGGCAACGAAGTACGAAAACACTACCCAGTAAACTTAGTCGGGTGGGCAACTACTGCCTCCCTGGATGGGGACCCCGGGACTTAAATCACCAGTGGTTAACGACACTGGCGAAACGGCCCAATCGCACAGTCAGTGGCGCTCGTGCATCCTTCAGTGCGTAGCTATCTGATTCCCAAAATAACTAAAAATGTCATCTCCCCGAAGGCTTGTCTGTATGTCCCACCATATCCCGTTTTCCGGTGATCGAAACCACAGCAGCTGGAACCGGTGTGCCTATGGCACACGCTTTATAGTTGATAGCTTGAATGATTCATCTTCCTCACCACTATTTATATTGATCGCCCATCCAGCTCATGCTACCTCGTAATTCAATACACTACAGTCATTTAAGAGAGTGCCCTCGCATACAAAACGAGGGCAAAGTAGCTCGGTCGCGGTCTTTTGCACTACGAAAAAGGTGCTTCCAATGTTTCCACTTTTCTCCAGACTGCCAAGGTTCTTTTGTTTGTTTTGTCCATGTCATTATTCAGTTACATGGGTTAGCACAATCTACTGGCGCTGACTTCCAATCACGGGCGGTCGCTAGGACAAAATGTGTATGTCGCGCAAGCCTAGTTTCTCTGCCAGTTCTCCAGACCCGTCTGATCACCTATGTTCACCTATACCAAACACCACTGCCATTAGTCGGAGAAATTTTACAAGGTTGTTGCTGTGGCTACTGAGAAGACTCATAGTCCCTTTGACCAACTCATCAACTCATTGCTATTAAGCTAGAAGAAAATTGCTAAGATCTTCATGTACCTATTAGGATTTAGCCCACTTTGGCACTAGTGTCTTTTGTAGGTTGTTTTTTAACACTTTCTCAAAGTTTTGTTGCTCTTGAATCCTGAATTTCATCATTCAATTCAGTCGGGTGATTTGTTTCCAATGTCATGTTGTATCCATGTTTTTCGAATTATGCCATGGAAAATTCCCGTTGGCATATCACGTGGCTCCAGCAGAGACAATCACGTTTGTTATCCTAACAATCAACAGAAATGTTTCAACGTAGTGTCTAGGTTGATGTTGATCTCGACCGCGCGATGACAGTCAGTGGCGCCTTAACATCAGAAAGCTGTTTATTCCAACGACAAATCGATGGCTGAGTAAATCGATGAGTAGACTGTACCGATGATAGAAAAGAAAAGAAATCGTTCAGTTGCAACACCCTTTCGGTGCCTAGCTGCCATGCCACCCGAAGGAAGCGCGAGGGCTGGGATACTGCCAGGTTGCCCAAACCTAGACAGGGGAAGTCGCGAGGCAGAAGTCGGGTTCGAACCACGGACCTTTCGGTCAGTAAATTCGCGCTCTCTGAGAGGTTTTTCGCTCATTTTCTGTAGTTTTCAAAGTTTGTATGGATATGATTGTGTCAAAGTGTAGAGGAATTCCACGCTATTGGCACAAAGTACGCACCACCCTCACGTATCTCCACTGGGAGCGAACAGCAGTGCATGGATATATGTAAACCTAACTACCCCCCAACAACTGGAGGTAATAACTAGGAATGCAGTTGAATCTATCAGTGGAGGCGGGATGGTGCAGTGGTTAGAGCGTGAATTTACTGATCGGAATGTCCGTGGTTCGAACCCGACCTCTGCATCTCAACTTCCCTTGTCTAGGCTTGAGTAACCTGGCGGTATCCCAACCCTGATGCTTCCTTCAGGTTGCACGGTAGCTGGACACCAAAAGGGTGCTACAGCTGAGCGGATCCTTTTTCTCAGTGGCCTTTGCACAACACATTTCGTTGATGTGATAAACCCCTTTTATTCGCATGCTAACACTAAATTACTTTAAAGCTGAGTGCTTAACGCCACATGTGTTCCGTTTAGTTTTCTAATTCAAAGTGAGGTGGCCAAGTAGCTGGGCCTCGAAATAAAGGTTGTTCATTAGTAATTTTACACTATTGGCTTCCAACAGTATAGTGATAGTCAGCTCTTTTGTTCCCAAGCTCGTTTCACAAGAGTGCTTTCTTCAAGGTGATCACTCTAGTCAAGTACCGACCACAAACGGAACAGTACTGTTGCGGATAGAAGCACTCGCCTTTTTGGAACCCGTTGAGCTATCCTGCTCTACTTTACTCCTGTTTCCATCCCTTTACTTTTCATTGCAAGGGTCTGACACCGACTGACAGCTTCTAGCATTAGTAAATGAATAAAATGTTTCGTTTACCGCCTCTAGTGTCGTTGTTGCTAGATCAACCTATTTTGACGCTTTTTCTGCCGGAAAAGGCCGTGATTAGATTGCGTACGATGTATGAACACGATTAAAAAGGCCGTCTTGGATATGTGTGTCCGTATATTCATTAGACGTGGCCTCCACAATGTATCTTTGATCCTCAGGGAATGATAGTACACATTTGAACGACTGGTACAGCACAGGATTGCAGCTGAATTGTTCAGTTTTGTTAACAGCTGGTGAATTTCTCATTCTCAGCAGGTGTTGAGTGAGATTTTGTTATCATTTTCCCGGGTAGCCCCTTCCGTAACATTTCCTTTGTTCTTGTGGAATTAACTTCTCTAAATCTAGATGCTTACCAGTGTTTACCAGTTATCTCACCATTATCCTTTCCAGGTTGTGTGGCAAATCTTGCGGCGGGATTCGGTTTTTCCGGATTTGACTCGCAAGGCTTTCCTGAGTATGGGTTTGCGACAAACATTCATTTCCTTCCCATCGAGGTTAGCTTCGTGTGTGGTAATCGTTAACACCATATTTCGTGTCTCGTTTATTTATGTATATCAACTATGCTTTGGCTGCACTCTGGGTCTTCGATAACGATTATTAAGTAACAACTTATTGGAGCACGCCCGAGAAATCACGCTGTGCGTGAAAATCATCCTCTCGTGATGCCGTGCAACCAGCCGACTGAGACATTATTGTCCCTAGTGAAATGTCCGCGCAGTCACCTGATTGATTCTTATGGATAATGGAGCCGGCTGTTTTTCCGTTCGTCGGTCAATGATTTAGCCGGCTGCGACAGCTACGACTATCGCCGTCAAAAGACTTTCAGTGTTTGACCATCGATGTCTGCGGAGCATTGGCCGAGTCTGGTGGGAACACCGGATCAACAATGCTGCACTACGTTGAATGGTATTCGCGAGAAATAACCCACCCTCGATAGATGAATTGTCACACTGCATAAGTTGCGCTGGCTTAGCCACCAGCTGCTTATGCCAGTCGACCGACTTCCTCGAAGGGTTCTTTTCGCACAATCACTTGAAGGGTGGAAGCGAGCCGGAGGCGGTCAAACAGTGATTCGGCAGCGAAGTGTAAAAGCCATTACCAGCAAACTCAGCTGCGCTGGGCAGTGCTGTCTTCCTGGATGGGGACCCCGAGACGGGCCACAACAATGGTTGGAGACATTGTCATATATGGCTTAGTCGCACTTCAATGAATAGCTCCCTCCTCAATTGCCCCACTTAACAGTCCACTGACAGTGCTGTATTTACGCACTAATTTATCAGCTCCCGCCTGCGATGCGCAGCTACTTACCCCATCTCCCCAAATCACGAGTGATCGAAATTGTGGCAGCTACAACCACCGTACGACAAGTACGCAGTTCTTACAGCTGGCAATGGCGATGATGACCAATAACCACTGTATGTCTTATATCAGTATCGAATGCTCCCAAGTTTATCACTCCTGGAAAGTGTATTTTCGCAAGGCTAGTGGTCCGCACTGGCATTGGGCACATTCTTCCCAAGCTATCTTTAGGAATCCAGCTTCAACCATCATAAATCTGTGCACAGACACCAGATCACGTGTCTTTACTGGCAAGTTCGATTGACCGTGTCAGCTCCACTGATGGTAGGTTGTGGTTACTTGTATGAATGTGGATGTACAAGGCAACCTAACGTACAATTCAGGTTTTCAGCTGGCTATTTCATCAAAAACGAATTATTTGTACCCAACCAATAAACTGTGCCCTGGTCTAATTGTTTGACCATCGATGTCTGCGGAGCATTGGCCGAGTCTGGTGGGAACACCGGATCAACAATGCTGCACTACGTTGAATGGTATTCGCGAGAAATAACCCACCCTCGATAGATGAATTGTCACACTGCATAAGTTGCGCTGGCTTAGCCACCAGCTGCTTATGCCAGTCGACCGACTTCCTCGAAGGGTTCTTTTCGCACAATCACTTGAAGGGTGGAAGCGAGCCGGAGGCGGTCAAACAGTGATTCGGCAGCGAAGTGTAAAAGCCATTACCAGCAAACTCAGCTGCGCTGGGCAGTGCTGTCTTCCTGGATGGGGACCCCGAGACGGGGCACAACAATGGTTGGAGACATTGTCATATATGGCTTAGTCGCACTTCAATGAATAGCTCCCTCCTCAATTGCCCCACTTAACAGTCCACTGACAGTGCTGTATTTACGCACTAATTTATCAGCTCCCGCCTGCGATGCGCAGCTACTTACCCCATCTCCCCAAATCACGAGTGATCGAAATTGTGGCAGGTACAACCACCGTACGACAAGTACGCAGTTCTTACAGCTGGCAATGGCGATGATGACCAATAACCACTGTATGTCTTATATCAGTATCGAATGCTCCCAAGTTTATCACTCCTGGAAAGTGTATTTTCGCAAGGCTAGTGGTCCGCACTGGCATTGGGCACATTCTTCCCAAGCTATCTTTAGGAATCCAGCTTCAACCATCATAAATCTGTGCACAGACACCAGATCACGTGTCTTTACTGGCAAGTTCGATTGACCGTGTCAGCTCCACTGATGGTAGGTTGTGGTTACTTGTATGAATGTGGATGTACAAGGCAACCTAACGTACAATTCAGGTTTTCAGCTGGCTATTTCATCAAAAACGAATTATTTGTACCCAACCAATAAACTGTGCCCTGATCTAATTTTGCTGGTGAAGATTCTTTCGTCCGAAATCTAACGGACAGGTATGACTGCAAAACCCTGAAAATACGTTTCTCAGCTGGCTATTTCATCAAAAACGAATTATTTGTACCCAACCAATAAACTGTGCCCTGGTCTAATTTTCCTGGTGAAGATTCTTTCGTCCGAAATCTGACGGACAGGTATGACTACAAAACCCTGAAAATACGTTTCTTAGATGCGTAGAAGCAAGACAAACTTCGGAAGATGTCCCGATCGGTGCGTTTTTAGATCCACAATTATTGGGAACTTCGCCTTTCTCAAGCTCGGCGTTTTCGACTGGTTTATGGACATTCCATAGAATCTGAGAAGTCCCGCCTCCAGACACGATAAACACTTGTGCATTCCCTTCCTTCCTTCTTCAACACCCGCTAGTCAAATTTGACAATTAGTGTAAACTGGCATCATACTATCATTTCCGTACTCAGTCGTTCCCGTGAGCAACTGGTGCTCGCTGCAATTGATTTGGATAACCATGGATGAAATGAAGGGATCTGAAGAGTGTATATGAGGACAGGTGAAGTCTGTTGTATTAGGTTATTTGGAGTGGAACTGGAAGCACTAGTCCATTGGAGTGGTCGGTCAGCTGATGAATGCAAGCCCGCCGATCACTGTAGATGTTGCCATGTCGGAACGGTTCATGACCAGGTCACCAGCCCGGTAGACGATATCTGCCATCGCCTGACCTCCACAGTCTCGTTTCCCGTTTGGTTGGGATTTCAGAAACAAGCTTAGTGTGGCAGTCGCTCTCTTGACATTCCAAAGACACTACATACAAACGGAGACTGCATTTTCAGTAGCTCGGTTGTCGAGTGTGAATTTTGCCTACTGTCAGATGTCCGTTTTCTCACCACTTTTTCACGGACTTGATCGGTTAGCTTCATAAGACCTAGTAACTGTAAAACGAGTTTGAATGTGGCTTCCTTGTGGGGGGGAGGGTATACTTCTAGTCGTAGGAACGATAGCTCAGCATCTTTTCAGACTCACAATTGACGAAGCGCCACAGACGCAAAGCATGTTACACGCATTTTGTGGACTGATCCGTTTCACAAATGCACACCAGTCGCCATGTAAGCCCAATCTGCAATATGACTGCAATTTGAGGGTGACAACTTTCTCTTCTTTCTGAAAGACTCCATATTTGGTAGTTGAACTACTTGCTAGGCTACCGCTGTTCTCCTCTGTACTAGAATTCCAAATTGTTTTCATTCCATAAAAGGTTCTCGAACCTTCCGTGTTGACAGGGATGCTTGTCTTAATGCGCCAGCTGTGGGTTACTGTTTCAGTTTCCAATATAAATCTCAGGAGATTCGCAATGAACTGACATGACTTCATCCAACCTTTGAACAAGACAGGTGGCAGGAAATCCTAGCCGCCAGCTTCAGACAACCTCAGTTCTATTGCAACATCGCGACCCATGGATGGTTAATTTATCACAGTATGACGTTTGGAATTCTGGCTGCTTAACCTTAGATTGTGGTCCCGACCAATCAAAGTGTTCCCTCTATCTTCCTAGACCGTGAGATACCTCTGTTTCGCACATTCCTTCACCAATACCGAGATTGGAAACGCGTAAGAGAGAGAATGGATTACCAACGTCCGCCTTGCCTTTGAATGTCCTTTTAGCTTACTTTTAACTTTTGCTATCTTGACTCGGCTGCAAAGCACGTTGTCCTTGGCTAATTTTGATCTTGCGGATCGGATGTGGAGTTGGCTTGCTGCAATGGTTGATGGGTGTTCTCGGAGCAAAGTTATAAGTGTCCTTTATATTTCCAAGTGAGGAACACGTAACCCGTAGCCTGTTGGCCTGTGTCTTGCGCGAATGCTGACCACATTATCCAGTACTTTTTCCTGATGCAGAGTGGTTTTCATGTGGAAGACTCCACTTGGTATGGCTAGCAGGGCGGGGAAGACTGACTGTTGCGCGCTACGGGGATTTTCGAGATGCACTAGCCCCTTGATTTCTAGGAGTATGTCGACCATGTTGAATGGTGCGCCAGCGGTCACGATCAGCTGTTACCGATCGGTGTCTGTGCTTTCCCATCTCGTCTTTCATTAAGAGCAGGCTGCTTTCCTAAATGTGAAATACTTTTCAGTACACATTTCATTAAGAGCAGGCTGCTTTCCTAAATACTTTTCCTAAATACTTTCCAGTACACTGTGACTTTATTTGAACTCTAAATCTCGTTGTGCTATCAACGCTGTAAGTAGCTCAAAAAGAGTAATTTGCTACTTACGCGAACTTCCAGCTTAGAATTCGTGACTTGAGAAACCATTACATGACCACGTAATGTGAGCCCCGTGATTGAAAGATGCGTAGCGCTGTGACTTGTCTAAGTGCGAGACAGTCACACTACTGGTCCATCGTTCAAGTACCAGCTGGAAGCTCCGGGTTCGACCCTCTTCGGAGGTTCATAAGGTGCGCTCTGTTGATGGGATAAAAGCAGATGTGCAGTGTTCGTGGGCTTTTTGTCTAGAGTGCTAACGCTTAAGTACGAAATCTCGATTGAAATATGGGATCGTTGACCACAATTTTGTCGCAGAAAGCAGAAAAACCTAGGCTCATACTACCTCGTATTACGATTGGTCGTAGTACCTAGGCCCGCTGCACTTTTCCCTGATTCTCCTCCTGGTATTCCGACGTGGCTATGTTACTATGTGCTCTGCTGTTAACTGTAATAACCTTTAATAAGTGGTTGAAGCTGTATGGACGTCCTATATTTCAAGACCTATGTACAGAAGCGCGTCGCAAACCAATACGAAAACTAACTAGTCCTGTGGAACGACTTGTCCCAATCATACCACATCCGTATTGATTCCGAAATCGGTGGATCAACCAACTTGTGGTCTGCATGGCGTGAACTGCAGTTGGAACACCGTGTCAGTAATGCTGAAGTATGTCGAATGGTTTCCGGAAAAGGTAACTTGCCCACGACAGATGAACTGATCACACTCCATAGATTGAGTTGGCCCGGTCACGTATTCCGTATGCCCGTTGACCGACTTCCTTGAAGGGTTTCTTTCGGCTAACCATGAGAAGTATGGGAACGAACTGGGGGAGATCAAACAATGACCTGACCGGCAAACTCAGCTATTGCCTTCAATCCGTAGCTCCCCTCCAAATCCCCCTGACGAAGAGTCCACTGACAACTTTGTAATAACGCGTCAGTTACATCGGCTACCGCCTCCGATGCGCAGGTACCTCAAATCATCGGTGAATGAAACCATGGCAAGTATAATCACTGTAAGACAAGTACTGGTTGTTACAGCTAGTGCTGATGATGAGTATAGAATCAAATGCCAGGATTAACGGGCATAAGCTGCAGAAGTAATACAGATTGATTGTAAAACTTAATTCCTAAAAGGTTGTACCTTTAGGAACGAAATTCCACCACGTGAAGCTTTTGTACTCGTTGAAGGAAGCAAGTCCGCTCAACCACCACACCACATCTCTTATATAATTTGCCTGTTACTTATTGCAGACAGAATAAATGTGGCGTCTATTTCTTGGGTGTAAATGGGAAGAGTGTCTGTCATAGACTTCACTGTTGTGTTGCAGTTTACCCCGAAAAGCGTCAGCTTGCAGCGGCTCCTTGTCGACCTTACGTCGCAAATTAATTTAAGTAGCAGTCCTGCGGGTCCATGGTTCATTCATGTGACTAGCTGCTCAGTCAGATTACGTATATGGAAATGGTCTGAATGGAAGTTGCGTTCGTAACCTGTACCTATAACAAGCGCATCAGCTTGTCCTTGACGTTTTAAGATAGAATAGTGCCCACGACCTGATAGGCACCGCACTCTACACGATCTAGTAGTCGTGTTGTAGCAACTGCACAACAATGTGGTCGGAGACCTCGGACACGGAAGATGTGGAGCACATCTTGGGGTCCCATCCACGCTTAGTGTAGCCGCACTGTCAGGCCAGTTCCTCCAGCTCGGCTAAATTCGGTCTCCTTCCCATTCTCAAGATAGTTGAGATTAACGAAGTGACCGGAAAATCGTTTCACAATGGCTCGTATCGTTCATGTTGCGTTGGCGCATTCGAGTTGGTCAGTGAGGCAAACTTTTCGTTATTTCTAAGGTTAGTGGATCGTTGTATTCCGAGCGCTCGGGTCCGATCTGCCAAACGCCTCTAGGCGGATAGATCCGATGCCTGGGCATACTGAACAGTATTCAGTGGCAACCTTCCCATCCAAATTTATACTAACCGGAGCACTTCCAGTTAAAGCTTATGCTTTGCTTCGCTGAAGGTAAACCTGATAAAGAATGACTGCGCCAGGGAGAAGTATGATAGCAATCCTGTTGGACCGCACCATCATTGTATGACCGTCTCTATCCTCTAATCCTGTTCGGTCGGGCAATGCGCACTTGTTTTGTGCCTAACAGGAACATCATAAAATCATCAACAAAATGTGGAGTTTTTAACGTGTGAACTACATTACTTTTCGACTTATGAATCCGTCTACACCACTGTCAACGCTTAGCAAAAAATCTTATTTGTTCAACCCAGCGCTTCATTCTCTTTGTTTACTCTCTATGTTTCTATCTAGCTGGGGACGAGTACCAAGACTATATTGGACTCGTGGAACACCGCGACCACTCGCTGGCTCCGTGAATGTATCTACGATCGCGTGCCGAAATCTTACGCCGTCTGGTCAGTGTTTGTCGCGTCCGCTGTCTGGCATGGATTTCATCCGGGGTATTATCTTGCCTTTGTTTCGGCTGCGTTAATCACCGTAGCTGGTCGGTAAGTGTGTTGGTTTTGATCACGAGTCAGTGTGCATATTACCGAACCAGAATCTATGCATGCAAAAGCATGCATCTACACTTCTAACATTATTTTGACACGTTTTTTTTCACTTGTTCGGAACACAGAATTTGTCGGCGGTACTTGCGACCCTACTTCCTCGGATCCGCTGCCACTCGCTTTTCGTACGACATCATCACTCACTTGGGTGCAATGTTCTGCCTTAATTACTTGGGAATCGCGTTCTTGTTGAAGTCGACCAATAAAGTATTGTACTTTTGGCGGTAAGCTGTTCCTTTTTGGTCCTTAGACCGTTTGTGTCTCCATATCTTTCATCTTTGTTCGCCGTCGCCAGTTTCTCGAGACGCAGGTAGTTTTGGTTTCAATTCGCAATGGTCAATACGAATTGATAAAGTACTGTGCGTTTCGCATACCTATACGGCAGTTAGACATTGAAGTTCCTGCCGTTGTTGCTACTGCCGCTCTTCAAAGTAGAGCGATCTAGGGGTTCGATCGATGCAAAATGTGTCTCACGTAAAAGCATTGTTGCCATACGTCTTGCGCATGCCACGACAGTGACCGAATAAACAGTTATGGTGGGATCGGTCATATGCTGGACTGTGTAGGCCTAATTTTAATCGATATTTCATCTTCAGAACCCACAAGCTTCGTAAGCCTTCCGTCCGAAACAAGTGCGGCATAGTGGTTTTTTACTCAACGAGCAAACTGTTGCTCAACCACTCTAGGACAGATGACTTGGTATTTATCTGCTGGTCGGAAGATCACGAATCCTCCTAAGGACTCCTGAGAAGGTGGTGCTGATAGGTTCCAGTAGGGATGTGAGCTGCCTTCACCTGCATGATGAAACCTTCTTAGTAAGTTTCAAGCTCTCCCTATCACAGCTTCGATAGTCATCCTCGGCTTGCCGTTCCACCCACTACGGCATAGCGAAATGCATAGTAGTTGGAGATGGCCTCTGACAGGATAAAGGAAAACCACTTCAGCTGTATTCTCAGAGCACTCACAACTATCCACAAGTTTACAGTAGAATCATCACTCGAGTTTTTTTTCTGATTTTTACTGTTCTTGTCGATACCACACTTTGGTTCGTGCATCTGCCTTGTATCTTATTGCTTGGCTAGCCTTTTGGAATTCTCATCCCGTTCTTTCACGTAGCGACCCCGTCTAATCGGGTTCGTGGTGCATACGAAATGATTCCGAACCTCCCTAATGTGGCTTCCCATATTTTCCCTCCATTTTTCACCCACAGTCAAATGCGGTTCTTGGGTCACATAGTACCGCTGCTGCTTATTTTCATTCTTCCGGTGATTTGTGGTCAACCAGTTGATGCCATCAAACTAAATAGCCCGGAACAAACTCCATTCCAAGAGCCAGGGTCCACCGATGTGGAAACGAATGCCAAGCGAAGGTGTTAACTGCTCGTTCCATCTACCCAACTTTCCTCTGCTGTACCAAAACACAACGGGGCAACCTGAATTCCTGTTGAAATTCAACTCGCTGACTCTCAGAATAAACTTCTGATGCATCTGGATACACCATCGTACATCCATTTACATCTCACACTGTTGTTTATCGTCGCGATTGAGTTGTTCGACCCATGAGTTCGTTCGCTTCCATGGCAGTTTTCCATCAACTGTTTTTGGTGGTATCCGTTTACCTCTTATCCACTGTTTTCCCGTTTTAGCGGTCCTCTTTTCTGGACGCTAGTAACACCGGTTGTCACTCAGGGTTATGACATTCTGTTAGTTGGCGTTGTTATAACTTTCTTCACGAATCCTCCTAAGGACTCCTGAGAAGGTGGTGCTGATAGTTTCCAGTAGGGATGTGAGCTGTCTTCACCTGCATGATGAAACCTTCTTAGAAAGTTTCAAGCTCTCCCTATCACAGCTTCGATAGTCATCCTCGGCTTGCCGTTCCACCCACTACGGCATAGCGAAATGCATAGTAGTTGGAGATGGCCTCTGACAGGATAAAGGAAAACCACTTCAGCTGTATTCTCAGAGCACTCACAACTATCCACAAGTTTACAGTAGAATCATCACTCGAGTTTTTTTTCTGATTTTTACTGTTCTTGTCGATACCACACTTTGGTTCGTGCATCTGCCTTGTATCTTATTGCTTGGCTAGCCTTTTGGAATTCTCATCCCGTTCTTTCACGTAGCGACCCCGTCTAATCGGGTTCGTGGTGCATCTGAAATGATTCCGAACCTCCCTAATGTGGCTTCCCATATTTTCCCTCCATTTTTCACCCACAGTCAAATGCGGTTCTTGGGTCACATAGTACCGCTGCTGCTTATTTTCATTCTTCCGGTGATTTGTGGTCAACCAGTTGATGCCATCAAACTAAATAGCCCGGAACAAACTCCATTCCAAGAGCCAGGGTCCACCGATGTGGAAACGAATGCCAAGCGAAGGTGTTAACTGCTCGTTCCATCTACGCAACTTTCCTCTGCTATACCAAAACACAACGGGGCAACCTCCTGAATTCCTGTTGGAATTCAACTCGCTGACTCTCAGAATTAACTTCTGATGCATCTGAATACACCGTCGTACATCCATTTACATCTCACACTGTTGCTTATCGTCGCGATTGAGTTGTTCGACCCATGAGTTCGTTCGCTTCCATGGCAGTTTTCCATCAACTTTTTTTGGTGGTATCCGTTTATCTCTTATCCACTGTTTTCCCGTTTTAGCGGTCCTCTTTTCTGGACGCTAGTAACACCGGTTGTCACTCAGGGTTATGACATTCTGTTAGTTGGCGTTGTTATAACTTTCTGCATCGTTGGACTCTCATACACGCATTGCAGTCCGAGAACTTACATGCCATTCGGGGGGTGGGGGTTGCCGTCCGTGACAGTTTACTTGGTAGGGCATTCGTT